CTTTGGGCGGGGGGCTGGACTTAATGATCTTCTGAGGTCTCTTCCAGCTCTAATGTCTGTGAAAAAAAAAATTGCCTACCCCTGCTATAGCAGCACCAAGTTGTAGTTCAACTGATAATTTTTTTATTGATGGTCATTGGGGAAGAGGGAGTACACTTTTTATTGTATAAAAAACCACATGTACACACACGCATACACTCCTCTCTTGAATAGAGATAATAAAAAAACACTTTATTGCACCCATTTCCGCATCAGAATTAGGTAGTAGATCTGTGTGTAGTGACTAGAAAGAAATATAAGGGTATTGCTCAGGCATACAGGGATGAAGTTAGGGAGGCCAAAGCATAATTGGGGTTGCGGCTAGCAAGGGAGATGAAGGGTAACAAGAAGAGTTTCTACAAGTATGTCAGCAGCAAGAGGAAGGTCAGGTAAAGTGTGAGTCCCTTACTGAATAGGGGAGGCAACCTAGTGATGGATGATGCGGAAGAGGCTGAAGTGCTCAATGCCTTTTTCACCTCAGTCTTCACAGGCAGGTTCAGCTCCCAGACTACTGCACCATGTAGCATAGTTTAGGGAGGAGGTGAGCAGCCAACAGTGACAAAAGAACAGGCTAGGGACTGTTTAGAGAAGTTGGATATGTACAAGTCCATGGGGCCAGATGCGATGCACATGAGGGTGCTGAGGGACTTGGCTGATGTGGTTTGCAGAGCCTCTGGCCCTCATTTTTGAAAACTCGTGGTGGTCAGGAGAGGTCCCGGATGATTGGAAAAGGGCAAACATTGTGCAAATCTTTAAGAAAGGGAAGATGGAGGATCCAGGGAACTATGAGCTTGTCAGCTTCACTTCTGCCCCTGGAAAAATAAGGGAGCAGGTTCTTAAGGAATCCGTTTCCAAGCACTTGGAGGAGAAGGTGATTAGGAAGAGTCAGCTGGAGGGTACGGCTAAGATTCACATACACCTAGTCAAATTGGAGGATTGGACCAAAAGAAATCTCATGAGGTTCGATAAAGAGAAGTTCCAAGTCCTGCACTTAGGATGGAATGGGCTGGGCAATCCCCACAATCCCATGCAAAAGTACAGGCTGGGGACCAACCAGCTAAGTTCCAGTTCTGCAGAAAAGGACCTGGGGGTTACGTTATGCAGTAAGCTAAATATAAGCCAACAGTGTGCCCTTGTTGCAAAGAAGGCTAGTGGCATACTGGGCTGCATTAGTAAAAGCGCTGCCAGCAGACTGAGGAAAGTGATTCTTCTCCTCTATTTGGCACTATTGAGGCCATATCTAGAGCACTGTCCAGTTTTGGAGCTAGACTGTTGTCAGTGGTGGTAGATAACAGAACAAGGAGCAGTGGTCTCAAGTTGCAGCAAGGGGAGTTTAGGTTAGATATTAGAAACAGCTTTCTCTGTAGGAGGGTAATAAAACACTGGAACAGGTTACTCAGAGAGATTGTGGGGTCTTCATCCTTGGAGGTTTTTAAGACCTGGCTAGACAAAATCTTACTTGGGATGATAAAGTTAGGGATGGTCTGACTTTGAGCAGGAGGTTGGACTAGATGGCTTCCTGGGTCCCTTCCACCCTAATTTTCTATGATTGTATGTAGTAGTAAATAATGAATTGACAAATGCTGTTATCAAGGAGTGTATGTAGCGAATCTCCTTCCTCTAAAGTCTTTTCATTTCCTGAAAACTGTAGGTGACATGTTTTTGACCTCTGAGCTAGGAAGAAATGTCGAAAGGTAAGTATTTTATGGAAAATGAGTGGAAGAGAAAATCTAACTGCACTCAGACCTTGCATCCTGGTTGAGACTTCTCATTAGGGTGGTGTTCCTGTGTTGCTGAACATTTGTTTCATGTGCTCCAATACTGTTACCCCGTACTGTCACAAGGTCATGTAGGTGCCTTGTGCCTAGAAAAGGGTTAAGAACAGCTGCTGGTTGCTGGGGCAACCATGTGGGTCAGGTGACCAGAAGGGGGCAGGGCTGGACCCTTATAAACAGCCCAGGCCGGAGCCTGGCTGGCAGTTCCCTTCTGGCAGCCGGAGGAGCAAGAGCTCTGCAGTGGAGCTGAGCAGAGGTGAGCAGACTGATAGAACGAGTAGCTGCACCATGGCGCAGGTGGAAAGAACCCTGACTAGGAGGTTTTACTGGAAAGCCAGGTGGGGCCTGGACTTTATGGTATAGCCAGAAGGCTTATTGTTGTGTCGTAGCTGGTTGGCTCATGGTTTTGTGTTCCTTGTTTGATATTGTTAAACCGGAGGACTGGGTGAGGCTGTCGGGGCTTGAGGAGGCCTCACGGGAGCTCCCCAGTTGCTTGGGGGTTCCCGGTGCCCTGTGTGGGCAAACGAGTTGTGCCAGGGACGGCACGGTTGTCTGGTGCCGGGTGGCGCAGAGTCTGTGATTATAGAGAGACCGGCAGTGGCAGAGAGAAGCCACAAGAGCGGGCATGTACTCGAGAGGAGCCCTGGAGAGGGCATGTTTAGAGAAGTAGCCCCAAGAGGGGGCGCATATTATTGATAGACACCCCAAGAGGGGTGCGGCCTAGAAGGCATGCCGGAGGGGCTCCACGGTAAGGGGCCAGGTAAGGCTCCGGCCGCCTGAGCCTAATTGGATACACATTCTTGGCAGTAACCCAGGAGGGTCAGAGGGGCCAGCTAAGGCTCCGGCCACCTGAGCCTAGTTGGACACACATTTCTGGCAGTAACCCAAAAGGGTCAGAGGGGCCAGGTAAGGCTTAGGCCGCCTGAGCCTAATGGGATACTGATTGTTGACAGAAACCCAGAGGGGCCAGGCAAGGCTTAGGCCGCCGATCCCTGTGGGTATAAAGATCACTAGTAAGCCCGATAGGGATAAGGAGTAGAGGGGCGCCAGTTGCGTGACAAGCCCAGGGGCACCAGGGAAGGAGTGCCGGTTGCGTGACAAGCCCAGGGGCGCTAGGCAAGGCGCAAGTAGGAGTTGGACCTGATAACGTCCGGAAGATCTGCGAGGCTTGGGGCGTGCTAAAGGGGAGGTAGGAGGCACGCGTAGCCCCTAAGGCTGGGGTGTACCTTGTCACTCCAAAAGGAATGGGGAACAGTAAGCATAGTACCGTGTATAAGGGGATTGAAGGTAGCCTCCCATATATCAAACTATATTTCATCAAAGACGTGGCGGGCGAGATAAGAGGGTGCTGGATCGCTTACTTGACACAGTAGGGGGTGCTAGTGGGATTGCAGCTGCTCCTAGGCCCTGCCCCTGACACACCCATAAGGGAGGAAGCTCAGGCTTCTCTTCTGATCTGTCCTTTCCTAGCCCTCACTGGAATGAAGCAGGAGGTATTTAACTGTTGACTGCACAGCTCCCTTTAGCTTCTGGGAATCTGCTGCTAATTTACACCCTCGTTTAATGTAGTGGCTTGTCCTAAGAGAGAGGCCTACTGCAAGAGCATGCTTCTATCCTGGGTTCCCTCTGGCCTGTCAGCAGCTAGGAGGAGCTTCTAAGTAGCTTTTTTGCAAGAAACTATACCTATTCGTAGCATTCTTTGTTCCTGTTGTGCCCGCAGTTGGAGGGTCTCCCCAGGTGACCTGTGTCATTATTAGTTGTGGGCAGAATCCACTCCTTGTGTGTCTGAATTGTCCCATGCCCTTCTGCTTCTCTGACTGCAGTTGCTTTGTGTGATGCAGGTGTCTTGGAATCCTTGTGTCTTGAAATTTTCCCTATTGTAGCTTGAAGCCATTGCTCCTAGTCCTGTCCCTTGTGGCCAGAGAGAAAAGTCCGTACCCTTCCTCTCTCTAATTTCTATAAGGCATTAAATACTTCAAGCTTCTCTGTGTCTTCCATAAGTAGGTTGCCTTTTGCATTGTAAGTGACCTTTGATTTCTTTGGTATTCGTCTTTCCGTTGACATACTTGTAGAATCCCTTCTTTGGTAGTTACATCTCTAATTCATGCCTGGATCTTCCTAATTTTCTCCCTTCATGTCCATGCAGTATTATTCTGACCTTCTCTAGGATTATTACCAAGTTTCCACTTTTTGTAGGATTTCTTTTTTGAGTTTCAGCTCGCTGAAGAGAGTGTAATCTAGCCAGGCTGGTCTCCTGGTGCGACAGAAGAATGGGAAGTGCATTGGGGTAGCTTACTGGTCTGACTTCAGTGAAAATTCTATCCTGATCCCAAATTTTCCTCTTCACTTGAAGTCAGGCATCAGTTGAGTAATGTAAGTCAGCTACCTTGTTGACATATTTTGCTTCCCACAGTGAAAGGGAATTATTTTCAGCATTTGGGCAGTTCTGTAGGAAGAAATCTAAGATGTATCTCTGTCTCTCTCTCTTTCATATGCTCTGCCATATCCACATGATTTTTTTTTATTGACGGGGAAGAGAAGAGTGGAAAAGAAAACTACTTACCAGTAATTACCTTTATTATAGTCCCTTTTTTCACTTTTCTTTTCTCCAGCCTGTTTTTATTGATTGATTGATTTGCTTGGATGATTTGACTGGAAAGGCAGGAGCCTGTGTAGGCCTTCATGATTCAAAGCCTTTTTTGCCCCTAGAATTTTTGATAGACATAATACAACCAGTTCCAAAAGGAAAGGAGCTGATCTGCAATCCTTACTAGTAGGTTGGTTTCATTTGCACCTGAATAAATTGCGGGATTAGGTCCCCCCCCCCGAAAAATAAATCAATGGTTCAGTACACAAATTTAACTTTATTTTTATACTTCATGTCTTTCAACTGTTTATAGTGCAGTGTTTTCCAAGCTCTTTTACACTCTTTGCTTGTGTACTGTTTCTTTGCTTACTCTTTACAGAGACTGTCTACTTCTCTGGAAGCAATGTATGGTGAAGCTAGTGAAGCAGATGACTCCAAGGAGGTATTTCAGCAATTCTTTGAGTGGAAGCATTTTAAACTGGAGGAATTCAGTCGTGTCAGAAGCAGTACAGATGCTTCATTGCAAATTCTTGCAGGATGGTTCAGTGGCATCAAAAAGGTAGAATAGACATTTTAACTATTGTCACATACTTTGAAAAGACAAAAAATTCTGTATCTGTACTGTAACTTGGTATTGGTGCCTGATAAATTGGTGTTTTGAGTGGGCTCTATGTAACTTTCTGCAGTTGTATTTTTTAAGAGTGCAACTAGGTGGCAGTGCTTCAATGGAAAGAGGAGTGTTCTCTGTGAAGAATAAAGATCTCCCTCTTATGCCCATACTTAATACAGCCAGTTGGCACAAATTCTGAATGTGTGCAATCAGGTGAGAGGACATATTTTGTGCTACAGTTAATTTTTCTCCTCATATAATTTAATGTGAGCAAATTATAGGGAAAATAATTTTCTAATGTATCAAATATAGTCTGTGTTCATACATTTCCAGTGTTTCAAATGGAATTATGTCTTTCAGACCTGTCAGGTTGTTGGTGATTAGGGTTGGTGCTGGTGGCTTTGATTATCTGTGGGATCCCACAAACTTGTTTTAGCCATTCTTGATTCTACTAGTCTGTGTAAAACTCATTGTGACTCCAAATCTGATGAAACATTAATTTGCTGGAATCTCAGCTACTTCACAGCTAGTTGGTTTCTAATTAGGCAAGCTTCCATTCATTTTATGAAATTAGATTTTTCTCTTAGCTATGGACTGATCACCAGCTTCTGTCTTGAGTAAGCATTTGGAACATGGGTGTGAGAAGACAAACAGTCGCACACATAACATGTTTTTTTCCACCCCCAACTCTGAAAACGATAAATCAGACTTTGACCACTGAAATGGTTGTGAAAGAGGGACAGCCAGAGACTGTATTGGAAGACACAAAAGATGCAAATATACTGGAAGGTGGAACCTGAAAGCTTGTTATCTCTGGCAAAAGACAGCACTCCTCAGAACATGTGGATGTTCAGCTGGAGAAGTTTTTGAAGCCCTGACACTGTAGGAGCCCACTCCAGTGGTAGGAGAGTCCAAACCATGCTTCTCTAGCAGTTGTGGGGAGGATCGACACCATTGCTACCAAAAGGAAGTGATGTGTGATGGTGGTTAACAGCTTCCTCCTGTGCGGCACAGAGGCATTCATCTGCTGGCCTGATCTGTTGACTCGGAAAGTCTGTTGCCTGCCAGAAGCCTGCAGCAGAGGTGTCACAGAAAGGTTTCTGAGACCCATCTGGCTCTCTGGCTGCTATTCCATGCTGCTCATCCATGTGGGTACTAGTGATACTGCCCAGAGTGACTAAGTAGATCAGAAGTGACTACATGGATCTAGGTGCAAAGGTTAACGGGATGGGGCCCAAGTAGTATACCCATCACTCTTTCCAGTGAAGGGTAAAGGTCTGGCCAGGAGCAGACACTTTAAAGCGTGACTACATAGTTGATGTAACCTGTGGGATACAGGAAGAAGGGGGACCTGCCTGATGCCACTGTCCCCGGATGACCTGGATGTGGAGGAAGTCCCTGGGCCACACCTGTCATGTTCTGGCTAGGGGTTGTGGGACAGACATGCAGGGTGCCAGGCTTGGCTGAGGTGGTGGTGGGCAGTCCTTTCTCCTTGCTTGACCCTCCCTTCCCCCATCCATCTCCTGAGTTTCTCCTGCCAGCCCAGGGACTCCCAAGTGCTGAGCTTGACCAGGAATGGCAGCGGTATGCAGAGCCCTGCTTTTTGTCAGCCTTCTGGTTCTGGGGCTCCAGCTGCAGGAAGTGGCTGTGTGGAGTGCTGGGCTCAGTTGGGGACTGGCTGTGGTGGGTGGTTCCCTGCTCCTCCTCCTCCCACCATATCTCCCACTGGCTCTGGGTCTCCAACTGCAGGGAGCAGCTGTGTGGGGAACTGGGGTTGGCGGTGGTAACAGCAGACAGGTCCCTGTTCCATGTCTAGCTCTCCTGGTTTCTCCTGCTTGCCCAAGGACTTCAGCTTCAGAAAGTAATACCTTGAGTGTACCTTGATTTTAGCAAGACCTTTGATATGGTCTCTGAGACATTTTCGCAGGCAAGCTAAGGAAGTATGGACTGGATGAATGGACTGTAAGGTGGATAGAAAACTGGATAGAGTGTTGGGCTCAGAGAGTAGTAATCAGTGGCTAAATGTCAAGTTGGCAGCCAGTATCAAGTGGAGTGCCCCAGGGGTCGGTCTTGGGGCCAGTTTTGTTCAACGTCTTCATCAACAACTTGCAAGATGGAAAAGTGTGCACCCTCCGCAAGTTTGCAGATGACACCAAGCTGGGGGAAGGGTAGGGCTAGGATTCAGAGTGACCTAAACAAATTGGAGGATTGGGCCAAAAAGAATCTCATAAGGTTCAACAAAGACAAGTGCCAAGTCCTGGACTTAGGACGAACAATCCTATGCACTGGTGCTGGCTGGCTGGCTGGGCAGGAGCCCTGCAGAAAAGGACCTGGGAATTAGAGTGGACAATACGCTGAATACGAACCAGCAGTGTGCCCTAGTTGCCAAGAAGGCTAACAGCATACTGGGTTGCATTGATAGGTGTGTTGCCAGCAGGTCAAGAGAAGTGAGTATTCCCCTCTATTCAATACTGGTGAGGCCACATGTGGAGTATTGTGGTCGCCCCACTACAGAAAGGATGTGGACAAATTGGAGGGAGTTCAGTAGAGGGCAACAAAAATGATGAGGGGGCTGTGGGACATGACTTCTGAGGGAACTGTGCTTATTTAGTCTGGAGAAGAGGAGACTGAGAGGGGACTTAATAGCAACCTTCAGCTACCTGAAGCAGGGTTTGAAAGAGGATGGAGCTAGACTGTTCTCAGTGGTGGCAGGTGACAGAACATGGAGTAATGGTCTCAAGTTGCAGGAAGGGAAGTTTAGGTCAGATTTTAGGAAGAGTTTTTTTCATAGATTCATAGGGCTGGAAGGGACCTTGAAGATGATCAAGTCTAGCCCCCTGCCCCAGGGGCAGGAAGTCAGCTAGGATCAAAGGATCCCAGCAAGATAAACATCCAAACGTTTCTTGAAAGAGTCCAGAGTAGGTGTCTGCACCACTTCTGGAGGGAGTCTGTTCCAGGCTTTGGGGGCTCAGACAGTAAAGAAGTTTTTCCTTATGTCTGGCCTAAAACATTCACGGAGGAGTTTATGACCATTGATCCTTGCTATCCCTTGGACCACTCTGGTGGACAGATGTTCCCCCAGATCCTGATGTACACCTCTTACATGCTTACAGGCAGCCACCAGGTTCCCCCTGAGCCTGCGTTTTTCGAAGCTGAAGAGTGCCATGGCTCTCAGCCTCATCATAAGACCTATTCTCTTGCCCTCTGATCATGTGCGTGGCTCTCTTTTGGACTCTCCCAAGCTTCTCGACAACCTTCTTGAATTATGGAACCCAGAATTGGATGCAGTACTCCAGCTGCGGCCTTACCAAGGCCGAGTATAGCGGGAGGATGATATCCTGGGATTTACTTGAGAAGCATCTATGGATGCAAGCCAGAGTTTTGTTTGCTTTACCAGCTGTGACATCACATTGGTGGCTCATGTTCATCTTGTGGTCAGTCATGACCCCCAAGTCTCTTTCAGCAGTGGTGCCGGCAAACGTAGCACTGCCAAGGCTCTAAGTATGCTGCAGGCTTCTTTCCCCAAGGTGGAGTACCTTACATTTATCGGTATTGAACGTCATCAGGTTTGTATCCGCCCACTTACTAAGCTCATCCAAGTCAGCCTGGATCACTAGCCTGTCCTCAGGTGTGGACGCTATGCCCCAAAGCGTAGTGTCATTGGCGAACTTGGCCAGTGCATTTCTGACACCAATGTCCACATTGTTGATAAATATCTTGAAGACAACCGGTACAAGGACAGCCTTGGGGGACACCACTGGTCACAGAGCGCCATGATTTTCTCACTGGGAGGGTAGTAAAACACTGGAATGGGCTACCTGGAGAGGTGGTGGAAGCTCCATCCTTGGAGGTTTTCAGAACCTGGGTAGACATCGTTGGCTGGGATGATGTAGTCAGTGATGGTCCTATTTTGAGCAGGGGGTGGACTAAATGACCTCCTGAGGTCCCTTCCAAACTTAACTTTCTATGATTCTATAACTTGGGGAGTTGAGTTCAGCTGAGGTTATTGGTGCTGGTTGCTGGTTGTTCCCCACTTCATGTGCCTATCTGCCTGGCCCTTTTCATCCCTCCTGTCCTGGTGTCCCTGGTTAGACTGTTCCTTATTTTGGGAGAAGTCTGTACTGCTTATTGAGTACTTCCTGCTCACAGTGAACAGAACAACTAGTTACCAACTCCTTTTCTGTGAACTTAAATGTCAGGAAGTACAGTTCGGAGTACATGTGTATACCTTCAGAGTTGCATTTGGAACGCTCTCCAAAGAGGAATGTTTCACAACAGAAGCTGTTATATTTATTTTAGGTGTGGACGAGCTGGGAATGATGCAAGAGTAGCAAAATGGTTCTAATTTTTAACCCTGGATAAAAACAGTTGAAGGTGGAATGGTTATATTACGCTTCCAGTGTTTGCATCTCACCTGCAACTAAAAATTAAGCTGTAAAAGCTGCTGCCTGTTTAAAAGGGTTCTAAATGTGAGTGTGTGTGTCCATACTCTGAGTAGTCCTTTATAACGTTGCTGTCTAGCACAATGGTTCTCATCTTTCTTGGACTCAAGGCATCTCCACAACTTTTCAAAGTTTAGTGGCACCCTATTAAAAAACAAAGCCAAAAAATCTAATATAAATATATTACAAATATCATAACATGGACTTGAGCATTATATTGTTTATTAATATTTTGTTAATTGATTAGATCAGGAGGGTCAGACTTTCCTCCTGCCCTAGGCCAGATCCAAAATGCAGGGCTCGTACGGTGGATCCAGCCCTTGGCATGGAGTGGTTTCACAGATAGCGACCTTTTCCTTTAAACAAACCTTCACGTATGGTTCTGTTGGCGGTGGCAGCATCAGCTCCTGTTTGGTGCATGAGGTGGCTCCAGCTTCCTCCCAGTGGTAGTTGGTAGTTGGCACATGTGGTGGCAGCTCCAGTACCTGCCACATTCCCGGCCTAGAGCTGGACCCACTGCTGCTGACATGCTTTGGCCAGCATGAGGTGGCAGTGAAGCTGGGGGCCACAGAGCTGGGAGCATAACGGTGGTGATGGGCCTAGTAGCTGGAGGGCTTTTAGGGCTATGCCAGCCCTTGCTTGGCCTTTTGCCATGGATTGTCATGTCCATTGGGACTCAAAGCCTGCAGCAGGTCACTCTCCCTAAGCCATGCTCTCCAATTTCCTGTTGCCTGTCAGTAGCTTGGTGGGCCAGATACAATGGCTCTGCAGGTTGGCTGTGGTCCATGGGCCCTATATATGACACCCCTGTATTAGATCATTGTAATTACATTATATTCATTCCACAGCCAGGTGGAACTGTGCTGTACACCTCCTACAGAACCACATCAGGAAGTGGCTGTGACAGGAGCATGTTTTTTCATCACAGCCCTTCCCAGTCTGATCCTGCATAGCATCTCCTGGAAACAGATCCATGTAGGCCAAGTGGGACTGTCCCATGTGCCCTTATACAGGCAGATGTTTCAGCTCCAGCTCTTCTCTGTTTAGCTTTAATGTGCTTCCTGGTAACAGAGGCACACGGGGTTGTTCCACCTTACAGCAGTGGCAGTCTGGAGATAAATTGCCTGCTGCTACCAGGTAGAACTGCCCGATGTGCCCCATGTGCCTCCCTTGTTTTCTGGAGGCATGTCGGAGCTGTACTAGGAAGCTGCAGCAGAAAGGCATTCCTGCCTGCATTACATTTCTGCAGGCAGGTGCACTGTTTCTGCTGCTGCTCCTCTTCTTTTTTTCAGGACGTATATTGGAGCCAAACCAGGAAGAGCTTCAGTAGAACTAAAATGCCTGCTTACATAATGCAGGAAGATGCACCTTTCTGCTGCAGCTGTTTCTCAGTTCGACTTTGTGCCTCCTGAAAAGAGGCATGTGGCACAATTTCATCATGCAGTGGCATCGTGACGTCTGTGGCAGGTTCTGACAGCACCCTGGTTAAGAACCACCGTGCTAGAAACCTGGAGCTTGGAAGTCTCCAGCTCTTGTATACAAGTTTAGTTTCTTTCCACCAGTTATTATAAAACCTGGATTCCAAAATATATTTGTGCAAAACCTATTATTTATTTTCATGAAAATACTCTCCGCTTTGTTCAGCTAAGCAGCAAGATTAACGATGGATTAAAGGACGTTGATAAATGCTTCTGGATTTTACTTAAAATATTTTGCATAAATGGATATGGTTTGAGCATTTCAGAAACAGAGCCTTAAATCACTTCCCCAAATTGTTTGCTTGAGGTTTAATCATAGAGCAAATTTAGAAAGTTTCCTAGAAATCTAGCAAACTAATATGCTGGAGAAGACGTTACATTCCCATAATGACAGTATGTGAGAACAGCTGAGCTAAACAGTTTCATCATGCTGTACTCTGTAACTGAACAGGCTCTGATTACTGTCTCTGTTTCTAGAATGAATGGTGTCAGTAATAAAATATACCAGCTACCCATGTGGCCATTTCACTTAGGCAGTAAATAGCAACAGGGAATGCTTTCCTGGGGTATTGGCACCAATACTCTTGTTGATACTCAACTGAGGAGTGAGTGTTTGCAGTTGGCATATTTTTACACATATTACAACAATTAGAATATATAACAGCCTTAAAAATAATTTCTGCATTGCTGTGCTATGCAAAATAAGTCTCTAGATCCCATTTGTATATGTGAGGATATTGTTGCTTAATTTAATTTTATTGTTGCTTTATCATCTTTTTGGTGTTTTTTTTGTAGGGTGAGAAGCAAGCACGCAGTTGTTAAAGCATACTTAAATGTTTTCAGCAGATTCCTCAGTAATGAAACCTTTTAAGGTGTTTGTAGAGAGAGAGATGGGGAGGGAAGACATGGGTTTGCCAAAGGCAACCCTTTAATTATTTTTAGAAAGCTTAAAAAAAAACAACAACAACCAACCAAAAAACCTCCTGAAAACCAAAATGGAAGTTACTGTTGCATCAAAAACTGGAGGGTTTTTGCCTTCCCAAAGTTTTGGTGTGGATACTTTCTATTGTGTTGTATGGCCAGAGGAACAGTAAATCCTTTAGGCATCAGGCTCAACAAGAGATGGATTTTGATTTTTGGGGAAAAAAAGATGAAGGCAAAATTCAGTTGCATTTTTTTTCCTAATGCTGAATCACAGTCTTATGTTCTCTTGGAATTGTTTTTGACTGGTTTGAAACTTTTAATTGATACAAATGTTGCATTTGACTCTAATGGCTTGATTTAGAGAGATGCTTAGTTTCTGCCAAAACCACGCTTTAATAGGAATTAGGGCCACGCAAAGCTTTGGTTGCTGATTTTGATTTGGTGGAGATTCAGCCCGATTCGGTGGCTGAATCTCTGAATCCAAATTGAATCAGGAGACCCTTTAATCTCTCTGAATTGAATTGGAACCCTCCGAATCTATTTGGAGAAATTCGATGATTCGGACATAGACACAGCTTTAAATGTTTTTTTTTCCTACATAGCTCAAGGTACCAGGGGGCTCGTGAACGCTGATATGTTGGGGTGGATGGAGCATCCCATGGAAGGGCTGCGGGGGGCTCCTCCTCCCCCTCTGCTGCGCTTGATGACTGGTGCCTCCTGGGTCTGGAGGGTCACCTGGGGTCCCCCTGCGGCCAATCGCCAAGCTGGGGGGGGGGGGGGAGGGTCCCCCGCACACTCGGTGGCAGACCCAGGCGTACTTCCTTTCCACTTCTGGGTCCACTGCCAAGCATACAGGCCCCAGTGCTCCTATGGGATGCTTCATCTGCCCCACCATCGCAGCTGTCACCTGGTACCTCGAGGTGTGTAGAAAAAACATTTAAAGCGGTGTGTATGGCCAAATTGCTGTTTCTCTGAATCAGCATCGAATTTGCAGATTCGGTCGAATCAAATTGGGACAGTGATCCGAATCAACAAATCACATCACTGTCCCCAATTCGAGCCGAATCCGAATTTGAATCAAATGCAGCCAGTTTCACACACTCCTAATAGAAATTACTTACCTGTTTGCATAAAAAATTAACTTTTAATTATAACATTCAGTTCTTTTTTTTTTTCCTTCTTTCTAGTTTTTTGACTTGACATCAGAAGTAACTTTGAATTCAGAAGAAGTGGTTGGTAACGTGGATGAAGTTCTTGAAAATGTTGAGTCAAATATTTGCAAAGAGCTGGAGATTTCTTTAGTTGTAAGTTCCTGACATTCCTAACTTGTTT